ATTTATTTTTAAATGTGAGTGAAATTCATACAACATAAATTTCACATGCTTTGGTTTTGAGTTTTGGTGCTGATGACCTGGGTATGTTCTGTTGTGAAATCTCTTTGAGGTGAATTTTGGTGTACTGTCCAGTATCTTTGATGTGCTGATAGATATTTACTTGAAAAAGAGGTGGGGCCCTCAAGATAGCTCAGTGGATAAAAGGCACTTCTCTGGGACCCCATGGCAGAAGGAGATAACTGACTCTCACAAGGTATCCTCTGACCCCTACACTCTTCTGCATGACACATGCACATGCAAAATAAATAAAACACAATAAAAAAATTAACCAAAAAGAAGTGGGTAAATGTTCTGGCAGAGGTGAGTCAGCACCATTCTGACCCAGGTTGGAGTGCTGGCCATCCTCTTTCTCACTGTGACCTCAGACAAGTCATTTCCTCTCTCTGAGCTTCCTTATTTGTAAAGGATGATGGTATCAGTCTCAAAAAGCTCACACTCAAGGGCTGGAGAGATGGCTCTGAGGTTAAGCAAGAAATGTTATGGCCTGGGTGGCCCACGAGCATCTGTATGTCCAGCTCCACATGACCTGAAGCCAGGTCTGGCTGTTGAGTGTGCTTACACTCAACGCTGCAAGTGCACATACCCGTACACAGATACGCATAATTAAAAACATTTTAAAGGTCACATTTGACAAATGTTTCCTGAGTGCTGACTGTGTGCTAGATGGGGTGGGGGAGGAGAGTAAATAAATGTGATTTCTGTCCTCCTGCTCCCCCAGTCTGGGGAGGGGGACAGGTCCTGAATCCAATGGGACCTTATGAATTTGTGTGGAAGACTGGGAGGAGACAGATGTACTGGAGGAAGGATGACCAGGTGAGCAAAAATGCCACTCTTCTCAGGCTGGAGAAGTCAGGTAAGGCTTCTCCAGGGATCTAACCTTTGCAATCTGGAGCATGAGACGAAAACAAAAGATTGTTCCAAGTCAAAAGAAGACTTTGGACAAGGGCCAGGATAACAAGAATCCGTGGGGCAGTGTACACATGGAATCCTAGGACTGGTTGTGTGCACAGGAAGATTGCATGCCACAAGCTTGAAGCCAGCCTGGGCTACATAGTGGACTCTGTATGAGGGGAGTTGGATTCATGGAGTGGGACGGATAAGGATGGCTCCTTGGGCATACAGTGTTGGCAGTCACTGAGGTCCCACACTTGGTTCAATGCTCTCCCTATTGTGCCTGTCCTGAAACTCTTGCTTTGAAAATGGAACATTGTACAAGGTGGTGGTGGTGGCGGCGGCGGCGGTGGCGGCGGCGGCGGCGGCGGCGGCGGCGGCGGCGGCGGCGGCGGCGCACGCCTTTAATCCTAGCACTCTGGAGGCAGAGGCAGGCGGATCTCTGAGTTCAAGACCAGCCTGGTCTGCCGAGCAAGTTCCAGGACAGCCAGGGATACACAGAGAAACCCTGTCTCAAAAAATATATTTATTCTTATGTGTAGGAGAGCTTCTGTTTGTTTTTTGTCTGCATGTATGTATGTGTATCACATATGTGCCTGTTGCCTTTGGAGGTCAAAAGAGGGCATTGAATCCCCTGGGATCATACATCGTTTCAGACAGTTGTGAAACTCTGTATGGGTACTAGGAACTGAACCCAGGTCCTCTGAAAGAACAGTAAGTACTCTTAATCATTTGAGTCATGGCTCTAGCTTTACACACACACACACACACACACACACACACACACACACACATATATGGAGAGAGAGAGAGAGAGAGAGAGAGAGAGAGAGAGAGAGAGAGAGAGAGAGAGAGAGAGAGAGAGAGAGAAGGTCTCCTGAATCCCAGGCTGGTCTTGAACTTCCTATATATCTGAGGATGACCATGAACTCCTGATTCTTCTGCCTTCTGTCCCTGAGCTGTGGAATTATAGGTGTACACCATCATGCCTGGTTTCTGCAGTATTGGATAGAGATGGAATTCAGGACTTTGTTTTTTTTTTTTGGTTTTTCAAGACAGGGTTTCTCTGTGTAGCTTTGCGCCTTTCCTGGATCTTGCTCTGTAGACCAGGCTGGCCTCAAACTCACAGAGATCCTCCTGCCTCTGCCTCCCGATTGCTGGGATTAAAGGCATGTGCCACCACCGCCTGGCCGAATTCAGGCCTTTGTATATGCTAGGCAAGCATTGTATTACTGGGCTACACCCTCAGCTCTATTTTTATCTTATTTATTTATTTATTTATTTATTTATTTATTTATTTATTTATTTATTTATTTATTTGTTTGTCTATCTATCTATCTATCTATCTATCTATCTATTTATTTATTTATTCTGTCTTTTTTTCTTCTTCTTTTTCTTTTTTGTCCCCCGGAGCTGAGGACGGAGCTGAGGACCAAACCCAGGGCCTTGTGCTTGCTAGGCAAGCGCTCTACCACTGAGCTAAATCCCCAACCCTTTTTTTTTTTTCCCTAGACAGGGTTTCTCTGTGTAACTCTGACTGTCCTGGAACTCGCTATGTAGGTCAGGCTAGCCTCAAACTCACAGAGATCTGCCTGTCTCTGATTTTCAAGTGTTGGGATAAAAAGGCATGTACTGGCTCCTGTTTTTTAAAGTTTAATTTTTGAGATAGTCTCACTAGGGAGCCCTAGCTGGACTGGAGCTTGCTGTGTAGACTAGGCTGGCTTCAAACCCACGGAAAAATGCCTACCTTTGACTCCAAGAGCTGAAATTAAAGGTGTGTCCCCTTACCCAGCCCTATTTTTATTAAACCGGTAATTTAGAGGGTGCAATGTGATGTTATGGAGTATTCCTACAATGGAGAATGACTGCATCAAACTGGGAGGCTTTTTGTTTGCAGTGCTGGAGGTGGAACCCCCGTCCTCAGATATGCCAGGCAGACATTTACCTCTGAACTGTGTCCTCAACCTAACGAAGGCGGTGGTACAGTTATGAAAGCCAACAGCTGTGTGCATAGCCCGATATTCCTGTTCTCCTGTGTACGTACTTTAGACAGGCCCACCTCATGCAAACCACTCGGTGTGTACATGTGCTATTCCATGTTCTGCCAAATTGGGGGGGGGGGGGGCGTTGTCCATTTACAGAGGTCAGATGAGGATGTTGTCAAGTGTTCTGCTCTATACTCTCTGCCTTATTCTCTGGGGACAGGATTGCTCACCGGACTTGAAGCCTGGCTGGCAGTCAGCAAGCCTCAGCAATCTTCCTCTGCCCGCCCTTCACAGCACTGGGTTTACAGGAGCATTTGGCGGCACCCAGCTTTTTACAGGAGCAGTGGGGATTTGAACTCAGATCCTTGTGCTTATCTGCTGAGGTGTCTCCAGAGTTCTTCAGTTGTATTATTTTGCTGCATACTGCTCCTAACATTTTCCTTTCTCTTTTCCTTTGCTTTTCTAGTGCTGGAGATGAATCCCAGGGCCCCCAATACACTGTGCAAGTGCTGTGTCACTGAGCTACAGGCCCAAGCCACATTTTTGTTGCACGATTTTTTTTTTTTTAGGATATGGGGTCCAATCTGTTCCTCATGTGATAAACAATCCCAATGTGCCACTAACACTCCCTGAAAGGGGTCCTCTACCACTGACCCAGGTTCTCTGCCTCCTAGGCTCAAGGATGACAGTGAAGGGTATGTTCCATGCTGTTTTCCTGTAGAACTGAGTCTGCAGTGGAACCTGCCTTTTGTTTTGTTCTGTTTTTGGAGACAGGGTCTCACTGTGTAGCCCTGGCTGTCCTGGAATTCACTCTGTAGACCAGGCTGGCCTCGAACTCACAGAGATCTACCTGTCTCTGCCTCCCAAGTGCTAGGATTAGGATTAAAGGCATGTGCCACCACCTTGAGGTGGGAACTTGCCTTTTTTTTTTCTTTAAAGATTTATTATTGTAGATAGTGTTCTGTCTGCATGCATGCCTGCGTGCCAGAAGAAGGCGCCAGATCTCATTATACATGGTTGTAAGCCACCATGTGGTTGCTGGAAATTGAACTCAGGTCCTCTGGAAGAACAGCCAGTACTCTTAACCTTTGAGCCGTCTCCCAAGCCCCCAGGAACCTGTTTTATAATACTGCTTTCCCTGGCTACTTTTCCTCTAAGTTTTGATTTCTCACTCCCCAACAGGAAGTTCTAGGGTTGCCTCCAAATCATTTTATACTAAAATTTATTTGTTTTTGTTTTCTTACGTCTGTGGTAGAGATTAGCCTCTAGCCTTGGTGGGAAACAAAATACAGTGGCCCATTTTCAATACAGAAGTCCCTTAGATGAGCTTAGGTTTCAGATAAGTAGAAGGCATTGGGTTCCTTTTCCTAACAGCTTGTGCCTTCTTGTGTGGCTAACCTTCTTTTCAAACCAAAGGTTATTTACAGATTGGAGACACAGGCCATACATTGAAAAAAGGGGGAAAGAACTTTTGAGTAGAATCATTAAAAAAAAAAAAAAAAAGACCACTTTTCTCCCGAGGGAGCTTGCTCGCCGTTTTCGTTCCTCAGGACCCACAGCTTCAAAGCAATCCTCCTTCCCTAAGCTCTCAAATGCTCTGATTACACATGTGAGCCCCCACATCCAGCTTTGTTTTGTCCTGCTGGAGTCCGGATCAAGAGTCTTGGCCGGGCAGTGGTGGCGCACGCCTTTAATCCCAGCACTCAAGAGACAGTGGCAGGGGGATCTCTGTGAGTTCGAGGCCAGCCTGGTCTACAGAGCAAGGTCCAGGACAGCCAGGGCTACACTTTGAGACCCTGTCTCGCAAACCAAAAACAAAACAGCTTCTTGTCAACTAGGTTCTCTACCGCTCAGCCACACACTTTGCTTGCATTTTGGTCGGAGTTGGCTTTTTTTTTTTATTAAGATTTTTTTTTCCATTCGTTTCCTGAGTTGGCTTTTGAGCAAAGCCTAAGTAAGACAACACTCATAGAGATTTCCTTTCAGCGGTCCCTTTATTGGAGGTCTGTGGTCTGTGGCTGCTCAAAGAACCATCAGGAATAGAGCCTCCTGGATCTCCAAGGTTCAGTCAGAGGCGTTTTTGGTTTTCAGCCTAGAAGAAGTAAGAGAATATGAGACTTAGGGTGTATGTACAGTTGGGTCTGCCCTCCTTGCTGTGGAATCTTGGATATGGGACAGGCAAGGGGCCCCAAGTGAAGGAGTGGACACAAAACTGACTGTGGTTGGGTGTGGTGGGGAAACATTTGTAATCCCAGCACTTGGGAGGCTGAGGCCAAATGATTTTGAAAGTTCAAGGTTAATATTGGGCCAGCCAAAAGTGGTAGCCCACGCCTTTACCACCTTTAATCCCAGCATTTAGGGGGCAGAGGCAAGTGGATCTCTGTGAGTTTGAGGGTACATGGTGAAAACCCTGTCTAAAAAACAAAAACAAAAACAAATCCAGGTTCCATAACAAGTCCCTATTACACAAACCAAACCAATCGCAAACCTGTCTGGGGGCAAGGGCGGAAGGATAGCATAGCTTAAGGAAAAGGAGTGGCAAGGTAAGTAGAGACTGGAGGGTCAGCAGTTCAGCATCATCCCTCCTGGGCTTGTCTCAAAACGGGAAACCTTGTCTCAAACCCAAAGCGACGACCGGGGGATGGCTCAGTCAGCTAAGTGCTTGCCTTGCAAATGTGAGGACCCAGGTTTGACCCTCAGAACCCACATCAAATGCTGGCCAAAGTGGCAGCTTCCAGTCCCAGCACTGGGCATCTGGAGACAAGGGGACCCTGGGGCCAACTAGCCAGTAAGCCTAGCCTGTTCGGTGAGCTTCAGGCCAGTGAGAGACTCTGTCTCAAAGGAAGTAGACGGTTTTCCTGAGGATGACACAGGAAGTTGTCCTTTAACACCACAGATATCAGAACACACGCTCACACATACACAGACATGCATTCAAAAGAAGAAAAAGAAGTAGCAGTTGGATGTGATACACGAGGAAACCTTGCGATCTCAGCACTTGAGGTCGAGGCCAGCGAGGGCTAGACCTCAAGACTGTGTTTCACAAACAAACAAAACAAAACAGACACAGGTAATGGGATTGTCCTGGTGTGGTTAGTTAGTGCTTTAAGTCAGAGTCTAGAATGAGACCTTTAGGCTGGCTGTGCCGGCGATGTCTAGAATCTTCAGGAGTCTTGGCAGGTAACCCATAAAACAAACCAAAACCAAAACCACAAGAATCTTCAGGAGGCGAGGCTATCAAGACCCCTTCAGTTGAGATGAGCAGAGGAAAGCAGAGCAGGGGTAGGGACTGGACTGAGGTTGTGCAGGCAGTCGTTTGCGGGGAAAGGGTCACAGTTCAGGTTAGTGTTGTGTGAACAGAAGGCTTCTGGATGGGAGGCTGGAGTGAGTTCTAGGCTAGGTGGCCTAGGCAGAAGGGTTTTGACTTGGGCTTCAGTAAAGCTCGAAGTAAGGACCTAAGACAAATTGCTCTTCAGATGATAGCTTTATTTGAGTAGCACCAGGCCACAAACAATCCTGACAGGGCCCTACAGAGAGAGAAACTTCAGTTCCAAAACACCTCAGGAGTTCCTGGCTCTGACATACTTCAGGGGTGAGTGTGGGGCTTGGGAGCTAAGAGTGGGTATTCACACCATGGTCTACTGCCAACAATCAGGAAAGCAGTCAAGCACTAGATAAGATTTTGTTAGCCGGGCGGTGGTGGCACAGGCAGAGCCATGTGGATCTCTCTGAGTTTGAGGCCAGCCTGGTCTACAGAGGAGGTTCCAGGATAGTCAGGGCTACACAGAGAAACCCTGCCTCAAAAAAACAAAACTTATTTTTTTTGGACAGGGTTTACTCTGTGTAACCCTGGCTGTCCTGGAACTTGCTCTGTACACCAGGCTGGTCTTGAACTCAGAGGTCTACCTGCCTCTGTCTCTGCCTCCCGAATGTGGGATCAAAGGTTTGTGCCACCATGCCTGGCTTAAATAAGAAGGTGACGTGGGAGTCGGAGAGATGGCCAGCAGTTAAGGGCCCTTGCTGCTTCTGCAGATGACCCAGGTTCTGTTCCCAGCACCCATGTCAAGTGGCCCACAAAGGTTGGTAAACTCCACTACAGGGGATCTGATTTCCACTTCTCGTCTCCTTGGGCATCGGCACGCATGTAATGCACATACATATATGCCGACACATACAAATAAAATAAATCATTTTTTAGAAAAGGGTAAACTTATAATTCAAGATTGCTTTGGTGTTATATAGCAATTTCCTAAGAACTGAAATAGTCCCTAAAGGAAAGAATTAGGGCCCCTCATCCAGGTTGGTTAGATGGGAAACTTAAACAACTGCGGGGAGCGGGGGTGGGGGGGGGTGGGGGGGTGGGGGTGGGGGGTAGGGGGGGCAAGATGGGGGACGGGACTGACCAATGCAGCTGCCAAAAACTTCCCAGAGGGGATCCTCCACTAGTGAGCTGCCTGCAAGTCATGTAGAGAGAGCTTCAGGGTTGCAGCTTTCATGAGTCATCACCCATGTTGAGGTGGCCATTCCCATGATACAGCTGTTTTTAAGTCATCCTCGATCCTGTAAGGAACCCCTCCTCTACACTCCTGTAAGTACCTCGGTGAAAACAACCAAGTTGGACTTTGTAGAGAATTGTTACTTTGGAAGGCTCCCTATTTGAGGTGTGTACCCCTGGGAAGGCTGTTATAACTCCTGGACACGAGTGTCAGCATCAGAAAGGCAACAGTGTCCTGCTATACAATTTCAGAGAGACTTTCGGTGGGTGTGGCCTGATTTGGGGGGAGAGAGCTGGGCAGCTGGAGGCCTGTAATCTAATAGGTATGAGTTATGAAGATCAGACTGAGGTTATAAGTCAGAGGGGTGCCAGCAGAGATGTGAGGAGTTAGGCAAAAGAAAAGATGGATGAGGCAGGACCAGAGCTGAAGTCGTGTCGTCAGAACAGACAGGACAGACAGACGATGCCATGGGTAGTGACTGAAGGCATGGCCTGGCTCCTGGCCCCTGGCTCGTGCTTCGAAGGCGCAGGGGTGACAGGCTAAGCTCAGGCACAAGGACAGGCAGACTCACCTCCGTGAAGTGAGGCCAGGTGCTCAGCAGGGTGAAGAGCGCATTCCCAGGGCAGTCAGTGCGCACCAGTTGGCGGTGTCCCAGCAGCTTGTAGTCTGCCTGCAGGTGGCCTGCGCGAATGGCGCAGCTCGGGAGCACGTCGCGCACCGTGTTCAGTGCCGCGTCGCTGGGCAGTGACCCCGTGTAGTTGCCCACGAAGGCCACGCCGAAACCGCGGGAGTTGTGGCCGAGTGTATGCGCTCCCACCCAGTGCCAGCCGCGGCCCTCATACACATAGCCGTCGGAGCCTACCACGAAACTGTGGAGGGGATGGGACGTAAAGTGCAGAAGGGCGGTTATGCCCCTTACCTGGCCACACCCCAATCTTGCCACGCCCCATATTCTGTCCCTGTGCCATATGACACCAAGTGCGGTACCCGGCATCTCTTTCATCCAATTCAGTATCAATTCAGTACCCCAGAAACCTTTCTTGCAGAATAGTGCAGAATAGTGCAGAATGCCTTAATCATAGCATTCAGAGAAAGAAGCAGGCAGAACTTCAAGAGTTCGAAGCCAGCTTTTTCCACATAGCAAGCTCCAGGCCAGCTATGAGACCTTGTCATATTAAAAAAGAAGAAGAAGAAGAAGAAGAAAAAAAAAATGGCAGCCCGGTGGTAGTGGCGCACACCTTTAATCCCAGCACTCGGAGGCAGAGGACGGTGGATCTCTGAGTTTGAGGACAGCCTGGTCTACAGAGTGAGTTCCAGGACAGCCAGGGCTACACAGAGAAATTATGTCTCGAAAAAACAAACAAAAGCCTTACCTTTTCTGAATCCATCCCTAAGAACTGGACAAGTGCCTTTTCACTCTTCTCCCCTCCCCATCCCTTGCCGGATTTATAGCCCCACCTCAATCCCGGACCTTGCTCCTGATCCTGACCACCTCCTGGTTCTTGGCCACGCCCACTACAGACTCCTACTTCTACTTGCCAGTAGTCTCCGCCCACTTGTTTTACTCCCTGCCTTCCAGCCTCTCCCACAGTGGCCTAGGCCAGGTCCACCTGTAGCCGATGTCATCCCAGTGGCGCACGTCCTGGTGGAAATGCTGCATGGAGCGCATGTTGGCGGCGCAGCGCTGGAAGGTGGTGCAGGGTGGCGCTGGCACGTACGTGTGATGCACATATAAGAATCCCAGCGGCAGCCTGAGTGGCGTTGGGTTGCCTCGATAAGGTGCGGCTCCCCAGCGGCAGCGAGGGAGAATGGCTGGGCATCCTTAAGGGGCAAGGGAGACTCTGATCATCAAGTATTTCCTTCTGGAAGACTGAATCTCTATTAAAATGAACTTGTAGGCATCCCTCTGGCCTCCAGGATTTGGCAAGAGTCTAGTTTTAGGCTAGGGAGATGGCTCTGAGGGCACACACACGACAGATAGATAGATAGATAGATAGATAGATAGATAGATAGATAGATAGATAGATAGATAGATAGGTAGGTAGGTAGGTAGGTAGGTAGGTAGGTAGGTAGATAGGTAGGTAGATACGTAGGTAGATAGACAGATAGACAGACAGATAGATAGATAGTATTGGGATCCACAGTGTGTTCTACCACTTCCAGGAGAAAGCCCAAAAGTGTGAGCATAATGGTGCATCCCTGTTAATCCCAGCATTTGAGAGATTAAGGAAGGGGGCTTGCAAATTCAAGACCAGCCTGGGTTATGTAGACCTTGTCTCAATAAAACATGTAAAAAAAAAAAAAAAAAAATCCGACCCCATTGGGTTGACTTTCAATTGTGTGCTACCGTGTGTGTGTGTGTGTGTGTGTGTGTGTGTGTGTGTGTGTGTGTGTGTGTTGGAGCTCAGGGTATCCTGAAGCCCAGGCTGCCCTTGATATCTCTTGATCCTCTGGCCTCTACCTCTTAAGAGCTGGGATTACCAGCGTTCACCACTATGTACAGTGTACTGTGGTGATGGGGATCGAATGCAGCATCGTGTGCATGCACTCTACCAACTGAGTTATACTCCCCAACCCCTTTTTCTAAAAAAATTAAATCAAATGAACTCCTATTTATTCTTCAAGGACCAACTCTTGCATTTCTTTGACCATGTAGCTGTCCCTATCTACAGACTCTGCTGTCCCCCCTGGATTTCCTGGGCCTTGGATCCCACTGACCGCAGCAGGCTGAGAACATCTATTTTATGAGGGGCCAGGGGATTTCCTTACCCAGGAAAGTCTCAGTGAACTCCTTGGTAGCGAAGGTGGCTACCTGAGCCAGCGCTTCTTGGCTCACGTTCTGCAACTGAGGTTGTCCTGGCTCCAGCCTCTGTAGCAGAACAAGGGCCTTCCATACCTGCTGGGCCAGGGCAGCAGCTGAAGTTAGAGCAGCCCCATTCTGCCTTCGGAAGTTACTTCGGAACCTTGGCTCTCCAGCCACCCCAGCTCCATAGTACTCTCTCAGCAGGTGGCTGAGGGGTGGCCGGGGCCTAGAGACCTGACTCAAGTGGTCCCCAAGGAGAGCTCCATCCAAGGCACCATTGAGGAAAGCCATGGTGAGCCTGGATGCCTTAGGATCCAACAGTGTGAAGACCCTGGGGGCAGAAAGCTGGTTCCAGCAACCCTCAGTTCCCAGGCCTGGAGGACTCCGAGTCTGGGAACCATGGAGGAATGCCAGACCCAAGTCTCCAGCCAAGATGCCTGCCAGGAGTCTGTCCACAGTGGTGGGAGTCTTGGCTTTGTCATTTGGTAAAGTGGCTCCAGCATCTGTAGAAGAGGCATTTGTGGAGGTATCCATGAGTCCTGACCAGATGGCTCCAATGTTTGTCAAGGTGTCTCCAGCATCACAAGGGGTGGCCAGGCAGTCTGAAGGCCAGTTGGTAACACTGTGCCCTTGCAAGCCAGCCTCTAGCCCAATCAGTAGAGGCTTCACGGCTACAGTGGAGCCATCCGGTGCCAGTACCACTCCGTATTCCTGCCCATCCTTTACACTATGTTGGGCCACTTCGGAAATCAGGGCTTGAAGCTCTGGGCTCAGTGAGTGTTGTGGCTCTGTAGTGTTGTGGCTCAGTGCCTTCCGCAGCAAATGCTGGTGAAGAGAATTGTGGGGGCTGGAGTTATTGGCTGAGAGAATCCATGCAGAGGCAGTGCGGTTGGCCTCAGTCACCAGCACCTTTTGCTCAAGCTCAGTCAGGGCCTGGATGATGGAGTCCATGACCAGGGGTAAGGAGGATGCTGCAGGAGGAGAGGATGCGTCAGCCCAGCAACCCAGCTCCACTTGTTCCTGAACCTCCCCCTGTTCATGTCACATTTTCCTAATGTTCCTACCTCTCCATCCAACACGACTGTGATCAGCACTATGTTGTGTAGAGGAGGAAACTGAGGCACCCAGACTATTGCCTGTTGGTTAAGGAGGTTGGATTGTCTATGCACACTGGGGAGCCATGGCAAGATTATGAGCAGGAAAGAGGCTTGGCCAGGTTGGCATTTGTGGTGGTTTAAACCGGAATGTCCCCCATAGGAGCATATATTTGAATGCTTGGTCATTAGGGAGTGGTGCTACTTGAGAGGGATTAGGAGGTGTGGTCTTGTTGGAATAAATGTGGCCCTCTTGGAGGAAGTGTGTCACTGGGGGTGGGCTTTGGGGGTTCAGAAGCCCAAGCCAGGCCCAGTGGCTCTCTCTCTTCTTCCTGCTGCCTGTGTGAATCCTGATGTAGAATTTTCAGCTCTGTGTGTCACCATGCTTCCTACCATTCTAATTATGGACTAAACTTCTGAAACTGCAAACCAGACCCAATTAAATGCTTTCCTTCATAAAAGTTGCTGTGGTCATGGTGTACATTCATAACAATAGACTAAGATATCACTCTAAGATTGTTGTTTGGGCTATTATATGGAAAGGATTTTCAAGGTGCTAGGATAATGAGGGGCAGACAGTAGAGAGGTAAGAGAGGAAGATGGCTGGTGGTGTAGTGTTGGCAATGAACAAAAGCATGGAGATTTTCTACATATGTAGGGGTAAAGACAGATCATTTAAAAATTACTCTTGGTACTGGAGAGATGGCTCAGAGGTTAAGAGCACTGATTGCTCTTCCAGAGACCCCGGGTTCAATTCCTAGCACCTACATGGCAAGTCACACCTGTTCTTGTTACTCCTGTTCCAGGGTTTATGACACCCTCACACAGGCATCCATGCATCCAAAACACCAATGCACATACATAAAATAAAGATAAATTATTGAAAATAAATTTACTATTATTTTAAGGTTTATATTTTTTATTTTTAATTGTGTGTGTGTGTGTGTGTGTGTGTGTGTGTGTGTGTGTGTAGGTGCATGTGGAGGCTAGAGGTTTTAGATATACTGGAGCTGGAGTTACTGGTGGATGTGAATCATCTACTGTGGGTGCTGGGAACAGAACATGGGTCTTCTGCAAGAATGGTGCACTGTCGAGATCCGCCTGCCTCTGCCTCCTAAGTGCTGGGATTAAAGGCATGTGCCGCCACTGCCTGACTGAAAAAGGCTATTTGTTCAATGTTCCATTGCTTTGAAGAGATGTCATGACCACGGTAAAAAAAAAAAAAAAAAAAAAAAGAATGGTGCACTGTCTTAACCACTGAGCCATCTCTTCAGCTCAGACAGACAGTTTTTGGTGACATATTAGAACTGGGCAGTTTTAGAAGGAAAAGTATGTTGAAGGATACCCAAGGGTTATGTAGCAATTTTCTCTAATCTGAGGCCTCTTACTAAGGCTCAGGAAGTAAACCAACTTGGAAGTCTCAGGAAACTCCTAAAACCCAGAAAAGTTAAGAGGTTCCTCTCCCATTGTTATATAAGCAATAGCAACTGTAAGGAAGAAGAGATGCTCCCACCAACCAAGCTGCCAGAAAGTTCAGCAGGGAGCTACAGGAATGCAGCTTTTGTGAGTCATCATTAATGCTGGGGTGGGCTTTTTGGTGATGTAGCTGCATTTGAATCACCCATGTTCCTATAAGCAATCTCAATAAGCTCACTGGTTTACTGAGCTAGATTTGAATGGAATAATTTCTTTGTTCCACCATACGTACCCTATGTGGAGCATAAGATGTTCATTATGGCTTCAGAAGTAGTCACACGACACCAAGGAAGCTGAGCATGATGGCTCATGCCTATAATCCCAGCACTCAAAAATGCTGAGGCAGGAGGACCACCACAAGTTCAAGACTAGCTTGAACTACACAGTTCTAACCCATCCCGCCTACAAAATGAGACCTTGTCTCAAGCAAACAGATACACAGACTGATGGGCAGACAGACAAACAGCCCATTGGGAAGAAGAGAATAGATTTTTTTCCCCTCTTCAAAGAAACAGAATTTAGATGTTAACCTAACATGGTTAACCTGGTAACCACCAGGTCCAGAGAGGAGTTAGGGTTTGTTGAATAATTGCCAATGTTTGTTTAAACCTTTACTATGTGCCAGCGGTCACTCCAAGTGACATATATAACTTATTTAATCCCCACAGGATAGTATAAGGAGTGTCTTGTTAGCTTCCTGCTACAGATGAAGCATCTGAAATGGAGAGGACACGTTAGCTGCTTCAGGCTACACAGACAGAAAGTGCAGGAAGTATAATTTGAACCTGGAAAGGCAGGTTGTTTAGTTTGTCGCAGGGGCTTGTGCAGGCTGACCTGACCTCTCACACTTTATATATCTCAGGCTAGCCTCAAACTCATGATCCTCCTGCCTTAGCCTCCTATGTTCTGGGGATTCAGACAAGTGTTTCCACACCCAGGGCGTCCGGGCCATTTTAATCCCTACACCCTAGTGTCTGGAATCTGTGCTCTTCCTTGGGCAATTCATTCTGTAATTTTGTTTTTTCTTAAAATATCCTGTCTTTTCTGCTTCTCAATCAAACACAGCCCTCTCTCCTCCCATCCTCGTTGTGTGAGTCCCTTTTCTAGGAAGCTCCCCTTAATTTTTGCTCCCAGGCCCCCAGGTCTTCTCTCTGGCACCCCTTCCTTGACTCTATGGGGGTTGGGAACATGTGTGGTGTCCTAATGGCAGTTTGCTGAGAGCTGGATCCTTGCCCCACTAGGGTTCAACAAAGCAAGCACCCCTCCCCCCAGGCCTCTGCCCTTGGACTCACCTGTCCCTGGCTCTGGCCACAGCAGCAATCCAAGCAGGATCCAGAGGACACCCCTGGCCTTCATCATTGTGGGGCTCCAGTTCCAGGGCAGAGGCCCAGCAGAGAACCTCAGAGGTGCCGGGAGGAGAGAGGTGGGTGAGACCTGACTTATCAAAGTGCAGCAGGAGAACACACTCACCCCAGCTGAGTTAAGGGCGGGAAGCAGCGAGTGTGGGAGCAGAGAGTCTGGGTCAAGGTTATTTGGGTCTCAAAGTCTCCCCTATCCTGTCCTGTCCCCGCCCAGAGTCACATGATAGTAAGACAGATCCAGGTCAAGAGAAGCCTGTAGACTGGGAAGTTCAAACTCCAGAAATTTTTGTGCCCCCTTTAAAAAATATGATTAATTTTTTTTCCAGAACTGGAGATTAAACCTAGGGCCTTATGCATGCTAAGCAAGCACTGTACCTTAGAACTATATCCCCTGCTCCCCTTTTACATTTTATCTTATTTTATTTAAAAGGCTTTAGTGAGTTCAAGGCCAGCCTGGTCTACATAGTGAGTTCCAGGGCAACCAGGGCTATTTAGAGAGACCCTGTCTCAAAACAACAACAACATAAAACAAAACTTATTCCTATGTTTAAGCTAGGCGATAGCTCATGCCTTTAATCCCAGCACTCTGGAGGCAGAGGCAGGCAGATCTCTTGAGTGTGAGGCCAACCTGGTCTATGGAGAGAGCTCCAGGATAGCCAGGGCTACAAAGAGAAACCCTGTCCCGAAAAAATCCAAATATATATAAAGGCTTTTCAGTTTGAATTTGAATGTATTATTATTGTATGTGTGGGTAGAGTGTATGACCATGAGGTGGGGGTGTGGGTATGTGCATGTGCCATGGCATGCAAGTGGAGATAGAGGACAGTTTTTGGGACTCAGTGTTCTCCTTCCACTTCAAGATCTAGAGATAGAACTCAAGCTATCAGACTTAAACAAAAAATGCCTTTATCCGCCAAAACATCTCTCCAGTCAACTATTTTTTAATTGTTAACATGTGTTTGTATGTATGTGGTTTTTTCGTTTGGTTGGTTTTTTATTTTTCTTTGTTTGTTTGTTCAGCTTTATTTTTTTGTTTTCCAGACAGGGTATCACCATGTAGCCCTGGAACTCTATAGACCAGGCTGGCCTCAAACTCAGAGATCCACCTGGGATTAAAGGCCATGCCACCGGCGCTGCCTACCACCTCCCCAACCCCAGACTGTCTGTGGGTTTTTGAATAAGAGAACAATGCCTATGAAAGACAAAAGAGAGCATTGGATCCCTTGGAGCTAGAGTTACAAGCTGTTGTGAGCTACCTGATGTGGGTCCTGGGATCTGGATTTAGGTTCCCAGCAACAAGTAAAGTAAGTACTTTTTTTTTTTTTTTTTTGGAGATGTATACCTTTATTCCCTGAATTCAGGAAGTGGAGGCAGGAGGATCAGAAATTCAAGGTCACCTGTGGCTGCATAACCAGTTCAGGGATATGTGGCCCTGTCTTAAAGTTCACTAATTCATTGCTTTCATTAATTAATTTAGTAGCCACACTTCCTTCTTTTATTATAGCTGGCCTCCTTTCAGATGGGCTGTACTCATATTTCACGGATAAGTCAGCTGTGGTGGCACAGGCCTGTAATCTAAGCATTTAGGAAGCTAAGGCAGGATAAAATTTGAGACTGTGTGGAGCTGCATTGGAAGGTCCGGACAAAGAGAAGAAGTGGGAGGGGCTGGGGAGAAGACCCAGTGGGTAAGAGCTCTTGCTATGCAAGCCTGAGGACCTGGGTTCACATTCCCAGAACCCTCTTGAAAAGTTGGGAATGCTGGTTGGTGGTGGCACATGCCTTTCAACCCAGCACTCAGGAGGCAGAAGCAGATGGATCTCTGTGAGTTTGGGGCCAGCCTGGTCTACAGAGTAAGTTCCAGGACAGCCAGGACTACACAGAGAAACCCCGTCTCAAAAAAAAAAAAAAAAAAAAAAAAAAAAAAAAAAAAAACCAGCCGGGCGGTGGTGGCGCACGCCTTTAATCCCAGCACTCGGGAGGCAGAGCCAGGCGGATCTCTGTGAGTTCGAGGCCAGCCTGGTCTCCAAAGCGAGTTCCAGGAAAGGCGCAAAGCTACACAGAGAAACCCTGTCTCGAAAAACCAAAAAAAAAAAAAAAAAAAAAAAAAAAAAAAAAAAAAAAAACCAAAACAAACCCCCCCCCAAAAAAAACAAACCCAAAAACCTGGATGTCTTTGTCTTTAATATCAGCGCAGTGGGGGGTGGGGAGGGGTGAAGACTTAAGACCCATTTTTCGACTTAAGCTGGCAGCTCTGCAAAAGAATAACTGAGAACCATAAAGAAAAAACAGGCAGCTCATAAGGAGCAGAACTAATGGTCTCATAATGGTTACATTCAGGCTCACAAATTTTAAGGTATCTTCAAAGGGGGCTAAATGAATTTCAGGAGGCCAATAAATGTTACACAGAGCCACTCCTGAAAAGTAGGTTGTAGCTGGAGTTTTCTCTCCGAGTCCCGCCAAGCCCCGGCAGTCTGACAGCCCACTTATAAAATAAACACACAGACGCTTATATTATTTAAACTGTTTGGCCTAATGGCTTAGGCTTCTTGTTAACTGTTCTTATGTCTTTAACCCATTTCTATTAATCTATAAGTTGCCACGTGGCTCTTGGCTTACCGGTGTCTTAACATCTTCTCATGGCGGCAGCTGGCAGGGTCTCTGCCTCAGCCTTCCACTTCCCAGCTTTCTCCTCTCTCCTTGTCCTACCTATTCTTCCTGCCTGGCTACTGGCCAATCAGTATTTTATTTATTAACCAATCATACATACAGAACATCCCACAGCAGTAGGTACTACACCAGCTTGAAGAGGATTGTGAAAATGAAAAGGCTTAGCTGGCATGCTACTGCTAACAAATGGAGGTCAGTGACCTTCAGGGTTATCCTTAATCTTCAAGGTCTCAAACATACTTGAAAAAGCAGTTACCATACATTACCTTCTGGAGAATCCAACCGCATGGCTACAGTTCCTAGGCTTACGTTAATGCTTGCCAAAGCTGGCCATATTGGGCTCTCAATCCCCATTTAAAGTAAGTACTTTTAACTACTGAGCCATCTCTCTAGCCCCAATTCACTTTTTTTTTCTTTTTTGAGACAGAATCTCACATAGCTCAGCCCGGTTTTGAGCTCCGGATCCTCCCATTTCTACTGCTCCACAGTACTGGGATTACAGGTGTGTGCCATCACACTGGTATCATTTACTTCTCATTTTGAGACAGGGTGTTGCTGTGTAGTCTAGGCTTGTCTCAAACTCAGGGTCCTCCGACCTGAGACTCCTGAGTGTTGGGATTATAGGCATGTACTACTACACCCAGTTTAAATTCTGCCCGTTCTTGGGAGTGATGCTTTGACATCAATCTGTCTAGTACACTGTGCCCTGTCTCAACAGTGGCAGCTCTGTAGCTGCCGTCTGCCACTGGAAGAACCTCTCAGCTGCCAGGTAAGACAGACTATGCTGGGCAAGGTGGAGGCTTGTTTCTGTTATCTGAGTATTTTTTCCTTTATTGCTTCTTTCTTTTCTCTCTTTCTTTCTTTCTTTCTTTCTTTCTTTCTTTCTTTCTTTCTTTCTTTCTTTCTTTCTTTCTTTCTTTCTTTCTTTCTTTCTTCCTTCCTTCCTTCCTTTCTTTCTTTCTTCTTTTTTTTTGAGACAGGGTCTTACTATGTAGTCCAGGCTGTCCCAGAACTTGCTATGTGGACCCGGATGCCCTCAAACATAAAGATCTGCCTGTTTCTGCCTCCTGAGCACTAGGAATAAAGGCACGAACCATCACACCCAGAGACACAAACAGTTTTTTTTTTTTTTTTTTTTTTTTTTTTTTTTTTTTTTTTTTGGTTTTTCGAGACAGAGTTTCTCTGTGTAGCTTTGCGCCTTTCCTGGAACTCACTTGGTAGTCCAGGCTGGCCTCGAACTCACAGAGATCCGCCTGCCTCTGCCTCCCGAGTGCTGGGATTAAAGGCGTGCGCCACCACCGCCCGGCAGTTTTTAAGGAGGAAATAACCTTTGGCTTACAGTTTCTGCAGTTGTAATCCTTGGTCGGTTGACCTGACTGCTCTGGGCCTGTGAGGAGAGAGGAACGTATGGTGGAGAAAGCGGCTTTCCTCACAAAAGCTGAGCTGCAAGAACAGAGAGAAAGGGAGGGTCGGGTCCCCTTCAGTGGCTTCCTTCCACTAAGCTACTTATCTTAAAGATTCCATCACCTCTAGCACCCCACGCTGGGCACTCAGTCTTTAACATGTGGGCCTTCTGGGAACCTTTCACATCCACATTCTAGTCAGCAGAGACAGGAAGCCTGTGGTTAGTGCCACCCCTACCTCCTGCAATGTACCCAACACTCACACAGGATGCTGGAGAGCTTGGGGTCTTCCTCTTCCTCCTCCTCTGCTTTTAATCCCTCCCCCTCCCCATGCAAGTGCACATGTGCCGTGGTGCAGGTGGGGCCGAGGACTGTGGAAATGAATTCTCTCCCTCTGCCGTGTGGGTCCCAGTGATGAAATTCAGGTTATCAGGCTTGGGGACGAGTGCCTTTACCCTTTGAACCATCTCACTGGCCCTGCTTTTTTTTTTTTTTTTTTTCCTAAGACCGGGTTTCTCTGTGTAGTTTTGGTGCCTGTCCTGGATCTCGCTCTGTAGACCAGGCTGGCCTCAAACTCACAGAGATCTGCCTGGCTCTGCCTCCTGAGTGCTGGGATTAAAGGCGTGCACCACCGCCGCCCAGCCTGGTCCTGCTTTTTAAAAATCTGAGAGTATACAAGTCCATGGATGTGTGTGCGTGTTTGTGTGTGCATGCACATGAGTGCACACCCCTATGTGTGCACATTCAGAGGTGAGAGAAAAATATCAGTATTTTCCTCTATCCCTGTCTGCTTGCCTTATTGCTTTGAGACAGGGTAACTCCCTGAATCAGAAGATCATTGTTAGTGTTAGGCTGGCTGCAAACTCCCTGGATCTACTGGCTATCCCTGCTTCTAAATGATGGGTTTACTGGCTTTTTAACATGG